CATATTCTTATGCGACTTATTGGAATCGAGTTTAAACTAATTGCAAAAGTAGGAATGTATTAAAATCTTGACATTACAAATACATGTGTACCTAATAAGCGGCTAAAAAGGTCGCCCGTGCTTTCCAAATCTCTAATAAAATTGTAACTATACATTGAGAAGAGAGAAAAATATTTGTGACTATAATTGGTAAAATAATTATTAAGTTAAGAACTCCATTTTCATAGTTATTGCTATATTGGTAACAAAAATTATATTTAGTTCTATATATCAAAAAATATATAGTTATTATCGAAAATAATTGTAATGTATACTCGTTTTTTCGGTGCCAACTAAATATTTTTCTATAGAACTATAAATATAATATTACTTTTTAACAATAACTATAAAATTTTAGTATTATTACTTTTAACAATAACTATAAAAATGGATCCTAATTATTTTACTATTAATTATTGCAATTAGAGTCACAAATATCAAACATTTTTCTCTCAGTACAAAATTATCATGTTAACCAATTTTTAATATTAAAGCAACGAGCGCTCGAAACTTCTTCTAAGAGTCCTAATTTTCTTCACCAAACTGCTCGAATTATTTTCCGTAAGCATCTCGTGCGCCGACCGATTTATCATATACGAGATCCGGATATACGATGTATATTGGACGGTTTATTAAAACCTCGCCTCGAGCATCCCAAATATCTCTCGTACCTATTCCATGCTTGTGTGCGTATCAATGCGGCACCTCATATCGAATATTTATTTGCGAAAGGATCGATAAATCGCTCTCTTCTACGCACAATTTCGGTCTTGCACATTTTCGCGCGGCTATTTCGCGACTCGTAACACGAACATGACCCCGCTCAACCGAACGACAGCTCGGTAGACCCGGGTTATTAAGACCGAAATAACTGCTGCAATGTAACGGTCATGGCCGGCAATTAAATTTAAGTACTTACGGATGCGCGCATTCGAGCGGGTGCATCGGACGCGCGCGCGAACATTTATGAGCGCGAGGAGGTGAATGCGTCTGTGAAAACGTGTACAATACGCGATGCTATCACTTTGTTTGGCGATACGTAAAAGATAACTGTCAATTAGCAATAAATCCGTAAAAGCAGGATTTTCGTATCAAGAAACAAGTTAAATTATGAGAGCAAATCTTCCAAAACATGCTTTTTAAAATTGTCCACCAAGTTTAACGCGTTGAAATACATAGACCTTATATATAGACTGGTAGTTGCTTAAAATAAAATTTAATAAAGAAAAATATACGCTTACAATAGAAACTAACTACTCTAAAAAGTATCAGTATGGATTTAACACCACTGGTGTGAATTACACGTAATATAACGTCTATATATAATTCTCTCTGTGTTGCTGTTATTGTCATGGATTTAACACCATGATATTAATCTATTTTTTACAGTACATAATTAATATTATCTATGTAAAATATTTGAAATATAATTTTTGCATAAAAAACAATTATCCGAAGAAGAATGAAAAGAGAAACATATACTCTTTAAAATTTTTAGAAATCTTACTCTCAAAGGTTGAAAATGGAGCTCTCTTTTTTAAGACTGGCTATTTAATTAACAAAACAAATTATACCAAAGACTAGAAAACGAAAATCTCGCTCTTTTATTTACAATAGAAAGGAGAAATTCTACTGCGCAGAATACAATCTCTCTCGGATAAAACCCGTGGCTCCATCTTACAATACACGAACTCATCTCCCGTTGCTCGTCCGTGGATCACCAGGAATATCTGGATCGCCGTGTTCATCGATCACTTTTGTCACGGGCCGCGCGAGTTTATTTTCAGAGCGAGAGGTGGCGAGAGAAGCGAACGATCGTTAACGGCGCCGGGGTGTGCGGGACGTATTTCGCGCTTTTTGTTATGCCTCTTATTATTTATTTTTTTTTTTTTCTATCAGACCCGCGAGACCACCTGTCGCTTTACGCCGGCAATTATGTTCGCGCGATTGCGAACAAACGCAAACTTTAATCGGATCTCGTGCGATCTGTCGCGAAAGTTCGTCGGGAACGCACGTTCCCAGGAACGCGCGCTGCCGCGGCGGCTTCTACGACGATGGAAAAGAAACGTAATCGCCCAGGCCAACGAACAACCGTGGCCTCGGCTTCAGGGTCGTTTCGACTATTATCCCGCAGCAGTCGAGGATGCAGCAGAAACGCATCGTTCGGAGGCCGCGCTTGGTACATCCGTTCGAAACCGGCGATACTCACGATTCAATATTAGAGTACCGTATATACAATGGTATATACACGTATACACCGTACTTTGATTATCAGAATATGGATATACCTTCCTTCGATATCTCGACTTAACATATCGTATTTTTAGGCTAATTTTACTATAAATTGAAATGCTGACAAGAAGATCCGATAATTAATACCTTCCTGATTTTAATCAATGCGTAGATATTAATTAATTGCATTAATTTTCTCATCAGTGAATTTATGTATAAGTGAATAAATCATTTAGAAGAAAAATAGAAAATTGATATTATGGAATTGAACGTGTTTCATGTTATAGATTACATCTATCATATTTTATATTTAAAATGTTATGCTTGTTGAACTTTCCAGTGATATAAATATAAATTATATATTCATATAAAATTTCTATTGAGTTTTGACTGAATAAAGTTCTTTCTTCTTGCTTATTTCCGTAAAAATTTTTGTATAATATTTTTAGAAAAAAAAGTAAAATTGTATGTATGTCATTATTATAAATTTCTCGTATTTAATAAATTCCTATTTCCTGTTTACTAAAATATCGAAATAAATACATATTCGAAGAAGGAAGAGAGAGAGAGAGAGAGAGAGAGAGAGAGAAAGCGAAGATTCTGAATATAAGCAATACAAACAGCTGAACTTAATATTAATTTATTGATCTTGTACTGTTTGTTCATTATTCTAATTGTAAGTTGAAGCTTCTTACTTTCATATAATAATGATGGCAAAGGCAATTATCCTCTAATCAATAGCAATAAAAATATTGTTATTAGTATTGTTACTAATTAAAGATGATTGTCTTTACATAATTATTAGATATATGAAAGTAAGAAGTTCGAATTGAGAATAAATGTAGCTCAATAAATTAACATTAGATCTAATTGTGTTGCTCGCACTTTTTGTACTTTGCTTCCTCTCTTTCTCCAACGCCTAAATATATATTTATTTTTAAGTGAAAAACGTTTAGGGATTTTAAGCAACACGAACAAATCTGACAAACTACTCGAAGAAACCACTCACTGTTTTATTTCATCATTTCGTTTTTTCTTTGGGTGGCCGTTTTAGAGAGTTTGTATTCGCGAGATTCAAACGATTCCAGATTCGATGGAAGGTGACCAGTCACGGGGAATAAAGAAAAATGCTGCGAACGTTCTAGATTCCGTCGACGTGTAACGACCCCATCGAGAGCGCCTTGCATCCCGTGACGGTATTAACCTCGCCGCGGGCACGTGTTCCGAGGAGCGAGTCCTCTTTTATTACTTATTAGCGACACCCAAAGCGCATACTGACTCCACTCTCGCATCGCGCACGCTGGCGATGCGATTTTAATGATGTGTTTCAAGGTCCCAAGGTCTCTGCCACGGATAAGCTACAGGGCCGTTGCCGCCTGATCCCGATGACAGCTAGCCTTAGCTGTAGAAGTTTTGATATCATTCTTTATATCGATATCTCTGCAATTCAAAATCAATTTTACAAAATGTGCCGATATTCTCCTATCCGTATATATTTCACACAGCTAACACTATTTTATTTATTTATAAATTCCTTGACAACTAATTTGAAGATATTCTTCAATTACCTCACTATCTTTCACTATATTGTCGCGAGTTTTAAAAACAGTATCAAAAAAATAAGAAATTACTATTGTTTGCATACAATCTATACTCGATAGATGTAGGGAATTATCTCTGCAATTTTATTTTGAGGAGAAATAATACAAATCTTACAACGTTGGTGAAAAAATGACATCTAGATAAGAACTACGTCCACATTGAGACGAATCGTTCGAAGACATTACATATTTCCATTTCGTTGACATTTCATCAAGGATACAAAAGATCAAGAAACGAAAGAACTCGACATCATCGAGAGGCCGGGAGGCCGTCATGCCGACGAAACGACAATTTGCAAGGTCCGCGAGCCGCGCTCGTAGACGGCGATACGAGCAAAGAGACCTTCGTGCGATGGTCAGGGCCACGGGGTTCTTGCGCCGAGAGCGTTAATCTCGCGCTACGTGATCGTGCAAACTGCACACGCATTGCATATGCATACGGCGCGGATTTTTTTTGCATTCATCCGCCTGCAATCTCCGCCTGCGTAATCCTTACTCTATCAGTTACCAAAAAATCGTAATCTCGAAATCGATAGAACGAGATAACATTGCAAAAGAAAAAATATCAACTCTAATCTTCATTCTTTTAATCAAATTGGAATTTGGTTTTTTAATTAAAATATCAAAACATCGTATAAGATAATGAAATGTAATCAAATAGCAAAGCCTATATAAATATCTAAATTTTTCGAAACAAATTTATGGAATAATTTAAATCCAATTTAGTTAGATTTTGAATATTAAATATATTGAGTTGTAAAGTGTTATGATAAAGAATAAACTTTTTCAAAATTTTTTTTGGAAAGGAATCAATTTATATCCGTCTAATGTTTATTAAAATGAAATACATGCTAATATGTTATACATATAATATATACGTGTATATAATTAAGTGATTCTAAAAAATGTGTACATAATTATATATATTATATATTTTATTATAAATATAATATACAAGATTAGCATGTATTTAATTTTGGTGTTACAATAAATTGGTGTTAAATAACGTTATTGCTTTAAATATACAAAATTTTTTTTTTTAATATAACGTACTTATAACTTTTTGAAATATTTTATTTAATAGACATTGAGATCAACTTCTCTTCAATTTTTACGATTCTGTTACAGGGATCTTAAAATGGAGAACATCGTATTGCAGGACGAACGCAAGGAACAGATCAAGATAGTGGGTGAGAGGCAGACGTGTATACACGGACGTCAACATATCACGCGGGACTAGAGAACATTATGGTCGCGGTGATTGTGGCAATCGCCATCGATCGAATCGCGTAGATTAGCGTGCACCGCGAAAATCGCAACTATAATGTTTCCGCTCGCGTGACGCTTGATTTTCGAGCGTGAAATCAGATCCACCTGTGCTCCGCAGAGCTCCGCATAAAAAATTGCACTTGCGATGAAATTGGCCGCAATTTATATAATTACGATATATTGCTATGATATATCTGATCTCAAAGCAACAAAAATATTAAATAGAATATTAAATAGAATGCAAAATATATTTCTTATTTTTATGAATATTTTTTAGTTGTGAAAATAAAAGAAAAAAAGATCTTGTCTTCAAATATTTATTTTACTATATAATTAATACTTATATATTAGAATAGCGGATTAAGTGATAATTACGCAATTTAACTTTAATAGCAATCGAAGGTCAAAAATTTGTTTATAAAAAAAACTTACCAATTTGATGACAGATGTTTCTTATCTCTCGATTATAGACTTTGGTCTCAGCAATATTTACACTAACGGCGATCCTCTGCGAACGCACTGCGGATCTCCAGAGTACGCTGCTCCTGAACTCTTTATCGTAGGTAAACGATATGGGCCGGAAGTAGATTTGTGGAGCCTGTAAGTAATCCAGATTTTATTAAGATTTTGTTTTAAATAAAAAAACGAAACGAACGTCATAATAGTGTCAAGAAGTATTATAAATTTGGCAGTTTGGCTTAAAAGTTATTAATGCAATATAAAAGTATATATAAAAACATTCTTTGGCGAAAAGTTTAAACACTATGCTATGATGTGACAAACAGAGGAGTCGTTTTATATGGCATGACTATCGGTCGACTTCCATTCCTATGCCCCCGCGACGAATGGACGTCGTCTGAAGAACGTCGACGGAGGCTGATGATTCAAATCAATAGAGGCTTGACATCGATCCAGGAAAAAGCTATGTACCAAACGTCGATCGAATGCAAGAACTTAATAAACCGCTTGCTCATTCCATCGGCTCGCGAAAGAATCACCATTCGAGAGATTCTTGATCACCCTTGGATACTCATGACATCGAAGAACAACTTTCATTTTCGCTCTGAAGACGACATGAACATTTCCAATCACGTCTCGGTAATATATGCAAGATACTCCACAATCCTCGATAACAATCGAGAAATTTGAAGAGAAACATGCATAAAAAATAACGTGCATTACCTTCGTGATTTTTTAAATTGTGCATTTGATATTTTTGATTTTATTCTCGAAGAACAATTTTTTCAAACTTTTATATATTTCAATAATATATATTTTTTAACCGCATTTCAAATCATTTTAATTTATTTCCCTGAAAATACTCCTATTGTTCACGGTAGATTTTTAAGTTTTAACAAACCCATGCTTTTATTATTCGCGGTACAATTTTCAATTTTAATAAACTCTCTTATTTTCATGCTGGCTGCATATCCTGCGTTATTATGCACTGAATTTTCAATTTTACTGCCGCATTTATTCTGCAGTTTTTTGGTCGACTTTAAAATATACGCCAATTAGTAACGCCATACGAAATACTCGTGCAAGGGGATTACATCGCTGATTATTGTAGATAATGAACGAGATTGCGACGGCAATGCGAACAACCACGGCTGCCGTCGAGGCTGAAATAATGAGACGAAAGTATGGAGAAATTGGCGGCATGTATAATATTAAGTAAGTACGTCAATTAAGGGAGATAATATTTTACAAGAAAGTTCTTCCACGTTATAATTTATTCATATTCGAACGTGTAATTTTTATTTTTAACAGAAAGCACAAATTGTATCAAGCCTCTACTGTTTATCATCTACCACCGCGACTTCTTCGAAATTCTATGTGTCAAACTGAAGACATTTCATCGTCAACTACAACTATCAGGTGACAATTAAATATATACATAAAGTATAATTATGTACATCTTCAAAATGCAAATCTTGAAAATGTGAACTTTTAAAAAATATTTCATACGTAATTGATATTACTTTCAGAGAGAAAAATTCAATAGAATTTATAATTAAATTAAATTTAAAATTTACTGAAATTTACTTAATTGTAGATTTCTTTTATAATGAACAGACTTATTTATTCCACGTTATATATTATTATTCCTCATTACAATATTTTGTTATATTAAATAATAGGCAATTAAAAATATTAAAATATCTTGTATATATTATAAAAGTGTATACATATCAGCAGAAAAAAAATTTTTTTACATATAAAAAAAATTCTTTATTCTTTATTCTTTTTAATTTCTCTATATGTATATGCTAGTAATATATTTTTGCAGAACTATTCAATAGCATGAAGATATTTCTTTACTATATTGATACAGAATGGCGAAAAGTAATTTACGAAATGGTACATCCGGAAACTCTGACAATACCAATCGCATAATCGTCATGCGACGCAGCCAGGTGCAAGATCGATCAGTCAAGAAATCCTTATTACACGGTTCCACGACGTGGAACTGGCAATGCCGCTCCGGAAACGAAAACCGTTCTTCCGAGGAACGGAGAAATTACGTAAAATTCGACTTCCTTTTGCCCCACATCTCTGATCCCAATGATTACGATCATGTCGATCACCCGGGGTCCTTTAGTCATGTTAATTTCTCTTTTCAGAGGATTCGTTACGATACCACGAATACCACGTCCTTATCATCTCAGCAGTGTCGTGTGCCGCAAATTACAAAACAGGCTGATAAGCTTTCGAATCGACGATCTTACAGGTGCCATTCGATAGAACGCTAAGAGTAGAATTTTTTACACACATAATAGACATATATTAATTGTAAATAAAATCATTCGTTTACATAAAAAGTACGTATTTTAATTTGAGGCCAATAAAAAATATATATTTAATATAAAACCAATAAAAAATATATATTTAATGAGGCTACAAATTTAAGATGTGAATGCACATACAATAAAATTTCAATCTTTTTTTTCTTTCTTTTTTCTTTCATTTCCTTTAAAAGTTAAATTGTACATAGATAAGAGAAGAGAAAAATAGTTGAAGAATATTTGAAATTCTTGTATTTATAATATATAATTGTACATACATCTGCAGCTTAGACTCGTATTAGCCACATATTAAATGAATCCTATAATTATATGAAAAATTGGATGAAATGAATTAATTTTCATTTATAATGTAGCTTATAATGTGAACAAAAGATATCACAAAAGCAACGCTTAACAATGCATAATAGTTTTTGTATCAAAAATGTTGTGAGCACAAATTTTACCTTTGGTATACACCATAGTTCACAAAAACTATCCATTATTATTAAACCTTGTATCTATTACATTTTTTGTTCAACATATTATAAGCTATATCATATTAAAACTAATTCATTTCATCAAAATCTCTCAAATTTTCTAAATAACTGATCCATATGATATAAAGATTCTCTCTTTGTAATTATTATATTAATTGTCTTAATTGTCAACAGAGACGAGACGAAATCAAGAAGTGCTACATCTAATAGCATTTCCAAAAAAATGGAAAAAAAAGGTTGTGTCTCTAGGACTTGTAAAGTGGACTGCGAAATAATTCCTAGCCCTTCGATTTTGCAAACTTATTCGCGTGTTAGTAGCGAGAGCGTGCGAATTAAAGTAAGATCCCAAATTTTTTAATACAAATCGACAACCCAAAAAATAATATAAAATTAGATTTGTAAACAATTCTTAGTTATATCGTTCATAGAAAATTAATAGCATTTATAATTAAATAAGCCTTAATAAGTTTAGTTTTAATATTTATAGACTGCATTATTATATTTTCAGGAGAGTTTTCATAAAAAGATACTTGCCCCACCGTGGCGATGTCGAATCGGTAGTGCGAGAATTAGAAAAGATACATAAAACTGTAAAAAGTGCCTTTGAACGAAGCGTGCAGAATAGTGAAGTTTTCGCCTTTCTGCGAATAGAAATTTGGTGAAATATGTATGTATCTATCAAGATTAGCTATTAATCTCGTTAAATTATTTGCAATTGTATGAAAAAATCTCAAAAGCTCCAAATTGAATTCGTTTAACAAATGACTACTGTTATAAAGCTTTTTGTATTATTTTTTATATTATTTTTGTATTATTTTTGTATTATATTTTGTATTATTTTTCGTGCAGTGATTAATAAAATTAGTGCATAACATCTTGCAACATCTCTCGTTCATGAATAAAAAATGTTCTCTAACTCATACAAAAATTACTATCATATAATATAATATACTTTCATTTTTTTACTATATCCTGGATGAAAATTCATTGTTCCAATTTATATATCTTAATAGAAGCTTTATTCATGCTTCTGTTGATCTTCTTTTAAATTTGACTTGAGTTTGCATCACACGGTTATTTTTTTTAATTTGCTATTATACTGACAACCTCTGGTTGTTATGCTGGAATTCACAACTTGCTAGCTACTGAGTGGTTTGTTAGATTTGTTATAGCTCAGATACTATTTTTTTTCTATAGGTTTATTAGCGTCTTATGCTCCTGTAACTTCTATTTACTCCAATGAGCGCGTTACAGTAAGCAGAAGCTATGATAAGAGCATGATGGAGCATATTGGAGCATGCAACGCAAATAAATCTTGATTTTGTATCTTGGTTTTATACTTGAACTTCATTATATGAAAACCATTCAGGCAGTCTTAAGTCATACGATCAAAATACCAAAATACTTTGCAATAAATAATTAAAATGTAATTATACTGTTCTCAGTAAACACTAACAGTAACATAAAGTCGACATTATAATTTCACATTTGACAATGTAAATGTTAAGCCTACAGCCTAACACCCGCAATTGAAAAATACAGAGAAAAATGTTCTGGTTAAATCAACAAAAGACCAGAATGACATTTTGGTGAAATCGAACAGAATTTCTAATATCATATCATTTTCTGATTATCAGAAATTCTGTTTGGCCAAAATGCCATTCTCTTGTATTGATCTTTTTGTTCAATAGGAAATAGGACCAGAGAATAACAGATACATTTTTTTCTGATAGAATAAATGTCTGTCATTCCGTTTTCCTATGCCTGTGCTTTTCAATTGTCTCAAAGTGCCTTTTATTTAATGACACAAGTTGACATAAGTATTGTTCTATCTTTGTTACTCATGAAATGTAAAGAAAGAACATTTGTATTGATTTGTGTCACTAAATGGAAGGTACTGTTTATATACAACATGTATTATATTACATTTGTATTGTTGAATGTGAAATTATAATATCAACGTTATGTTATTTCTTGTCGATTTATTGGATAATGTACTGCAATAGCAACGATTTTCTTCATATTTATTCAAATACTCTCATATAACACAGTATTTCAAGAGATATAAAGATGTCATTAAAATGTAGAACATCCTCTAGATGTCTTAAGACATCCCTTGGAGATCTGTGCTATACAAATCCTCACACATTCAATTTTTTATTTTCGTCAGGGATGATATCAATAACGAATAATTATAAAAATAATTATAAAAATAAAGCAATAAACAGTTAATAAATACCTATAATCTGCCCAGCACATTCCGTTGCTGACCGACGCCGCACTTTTCGGGAACAAAATAGCCATTTTGAGTGGCTACGCCAAATTCTCTGTCCTGTATGCAAAATACGACTGCAAAACGCGTCAATATGTCGCAGTTTACGTTCGAGCTGCAAAAGACAAGTCAGACTTTAGCGCATTTCCATCATACAATTTTATTTTCGCTAGAGGTAACACAACTATGAATTGTATAGCAGGGTAATACGGACAGTTCCTAAAATCTGTCCATCACTTTCCGTCGACGCTGACCGACGCCGTACTTTTCGGGAACAAAATAGCCATTTTGAATGGCCAGGCCATTCTCTGTCCCGTACGAAATACGACTGCAAATCGCGTCAATATGTCGCGATTTACATTCGAGCTGCAAAGAGACAAGTGTCATACCTTAGCACATTTCAATTATACAATCATAAAATTTATTTTCGCCAGAAATAATGAATAATTATATAATACAGACATTTCCTAAAACCTGTCTAGCACCTTCCGTCGACGACTGACGCTGACCGACGCCGCGCTTTTCGGGAACGAAATAGCAGCCATCTTGAATGGCCGCGCGCCAAATTCTCTCGTTCGCGAAATACGATATAAAACGCTACATCCGTACACCGCTCTACGCTCGAGCTGCATAGACTTTAGCGCATTTCAGTCGTACAATCACATGCAAACACTGTATTTTGGATTCGACGACATATTATTATATTATACTTACATTCCGAACGGAGAAGCTCGACAAGCGCGGGATATAATAAAAACTGACTTATGGCTCTCTAACAAGAGACGCGACGACGCGCCACTTGCCGCGCTGCGGAAATTGGCGCTATAGCTAATTAATGAAATCAGCTATGGCTAATCATTTTTTCGCTTTTATGGAAAAGCGATAAATTGATCAGCTACCACGCCAATTTCCGCGGTAAATGTTGCCACGTTCCGTGTTACACGAGTCACATAACGGCTCAATTTCAAACTGGCGATTAGGATATTTTGGGGGAGGGGAGAGGAGTAGGGGAAGGAAAACCACCGAACTTTGAAATAAGTTGCACGTCGGTCGATAAATACGATCGACGGTCAAGCGAAAATTACCGACGTAACTGTCAGTAGAAAAATGTCGTGTTGTGAATCTCGAACGTGCGAATATTACAATAAACTTTTCAAAAGCATCGCGGTTTTTTAAGATATTAGACGATATGAGAGAACAATAAACTCGCGGAATGGCGGAACGCGGAACGCGAGAGCCAATGGCGGACGCCGGCCAATCAGGTCGAACCACATGGACGCATCACTTCGGCTGGTGTCGTCTGGTGTCGTCGACGAGAGAGACCGAGACGAGAACGACGCGTTGCGTCACATGTACGTGTGACTCGATTGACAAGCATGCCACGCTTTGCCGTCCGAAGCAAGACTGTGAAAAACTGCCGCGAGGAGGGATGCTGCCGGCATGCTTTTACGATTATTACGTACATAATGGGAAGACCTCTCACGTGAACGTGAAACGCGGGGATGCCTCGGATCCCACGGGCGGTATGATACCGAAACTCTTCATTCCTATCGTTTTCATTCTTGGGATTGTCATCGCTGTCATCAGTACATTACTATCGAAATATCTAGGCGGCCTGTCCACCGATTCCATAGGTGAGTTGCAACTGATATATCTATTCTTTCAACGAGAGATTGTACACTTTTATGTTGCCTATCATTTCTAGCAACTTGCAGCAAGAGCTGTTTTATTTTTGAATGTCAGAAGAACAAAATGACATTTATGTTGACTGTCTACTAAAAAGAGAGCAACCAGATGATACAGGATAACATACTGAATCATTGGATGCTTTTCATTTGGTATCACAAGTTGATACAAGAGACACTGAATGTTAAAAAAGATACATAATGTTAGACTTGTGTCAATGAATGAAAAGCACTCGTTACATCTTTGTTTTTTGTCAATGTTGAACAAAAATGAAATGATTATTGTGTTATACTATATCTCTTGCTGGAAAGTACCATATCTCTTGTCTTGCAATTAATCATGCTATCATTTGTAAGCTGTGATTTAAATATAGTTAATGTCATAAATAATTTATTCTGTTGTCTTTTTCTAGAACAGGAATTTCATCATGGTCGTTCTGTGTTTGTGCCACTTTCTTCAGAAAATATTTTGAATGTCTATGATGATCATACACTCACCATTTCACAATCCAACACTGAACTTGGTAAGGTTCAGTGTACCGCGGCATCGATAACGGAGGCCCTGGCATCTTTGCACTTAGCTCTAGATATGAGATTATCTGGGAAGCAGGAGAAAGCTATAAAATTATTTCAACATGCAGTGGCATTAGCACCTTGTCATCCAGACGTTTTGAACCATTATGGAGAGTTTTTGGAGCATACCCAGAACAATGTGATAAAAGCTAATGAATTTTACGTGCGTGCTTTAACTTATAAACCGAATCATGAAGGTGCTTTAATAAATAGTCAGAGGACAGCTCGTGTGGTTGAAGAACATGACAGAATAATGCTTAGGCGAATTGATGACAAGAGGAATACATTATCCAATATACCTGATAACAATGCTGCGTTGATTCGTGCTAAAAAGGAGGCTTACTTCCAACATATCTATCATACGGTCGGGATCGAGGGAAATACCATGAATCTTGCACAAACGAGAGCTATAGTCGAAACACGTATCGCGGTCTCTGGAAAGAGTATTGATGAACATAATGAAATTCTTGGATTAGATGCTGCCATGAAATATATCAATGCGACCTTGGTTAACAGGTTCATAGAGTATAATTTGCATAAGTGACAAAAATGTTTTCACTATTAGTTTATTATTTATTATCCATGTAAATATATTTCAGAGTAGGGTCCATTTCTATAAAAGATGTACTGGAAATACATAGGCGTGTGCTTGGACATGTAGATCCTGTCGAAGGTGGTCAATTTCGAAGAACTCAAGTATATGTTGGCGGTCATATACCTCCAGGTCCTGGTGATATACATTATTTGATGGAAGAGTTTGTATTATGGTTGAACAGCGAACAAGCCATAAGAATGCATCCAGTGAGGTGTGCGAATTTCATATACTTTTTATTGTATTTTTATCTGAGATTTTGTGATAGAATTCAACAAATGGATATTAATCGGGAAAATTTACAGGTATGCAGCTCTAGCGCATTATAAACTGGTGCATATACATCCGTTCACTGATGGAAATGGCAGAACGTCCCGTTTGCTCATGAATATGATTCTCATGCAAGCTGGTTATCCTCCCGTTATTATCCACAAACAGCATCGCCATAAATATTATGAGTACTTGCAACTAGCCAACGCCGGAGATGTTCGACCGTTTGTGAGATTCATAGCGGAATGCACAGAGCAGACATTGGATTTATTTTTATGGGCGACTAGCGAATTTTCTCGACAAGTTCCTGCATTGAGTCAAGAGACATTATTTACAGAAAGGCACAATACAATTATTCTAGAAGATAATGAAATAGAAAATGATGTACTAGAAAATAATTGAAAACTAATTTCAAGTCGCATCTGAAGTATTTCTGAGACCAAAGAGCGTTAATATTATTTATACGATATTATTTATTGATAATTCCAATTTTAAAGAAAAGTTAAATTAAGTTTAAATAACACATGATTTTAATAATTAATAAACGAGAATATCAATAGATAAAATGAAATTTACCCATGGTATTAGAGCTGAAGCATATCTGCTCTGTGCCTGCTGACATGTGATCTAAATGTATTGTTATTTATGAGCTGCCACAATTTTATCGCGTATCCATGTAAATACGACGAATCTCTCTTCCACTTTCTGTTCAATACAGAAATTATATTTATAGTGTACATAATAAATATGATGATAAATTGCGAAATGTTTATTCTCATTATATTAAATTGGTGAATTAAATTAGCGTGGACAATTCTATTAGTTAATGAACACATATATATATAAAAGGTTTATTCTTTGTAGTTGAATTAGTGTATATTTGTTATATTTAAAATAGATACATATTTGAAGTTTGAAGACAAAAACGAACAAAAAATTTTAGTGCAGCAACAAAAAATGACTTGAAGACTAGTATTTTTTTGGACAAAAGTTTTGAAATGCGCTAATATTGGCTGCGTTCATCAGAACACAACAGTTTTGCAACCGTTTTATAATCGTCTGCTGATAGGATCATTCTTCTAGATCTAAAAATATAATTCAATCAGCGCGAAGAAAACTTCCAACAATTGTAAAATAAACGTTCTTCTGAACACAGCCATTGGATGTATTTAGCGGACTTGACAGTTGAGTAAATGCTCACTGTTATTGGTGTATTCTGCTAAATTATCCAATCAAATTTAGATACAAAAACAGCGCTCACGAACGAAATCTTTCATTCGCATTCTTTTACAACTAAAGCAAAACTTGAACATCATTGCAATATAAGAATAATTCAATAATTGAGATATGTGTGAAATCTTTGAAAGGTCTTTACAAGTATTAAGAAAACCTTATCTTTTTTCATCTATTTATTTTCTTGATAATCAAAGATTTTCCACAGATTTCACATATATTCCAATTATTGAATTATTCTTATATCGTAACGGCATTCAAGTTTTGCTCCAAAGTTACGAAAAAAATATAATAAATCAAGATGGTCCTCACGAATAAAAAAAAATTAACTTTTCTAATAGAATTTCGGATATTTTAAATGATATAAATTTAAATATTTATAAAATTATAAATCCGCAGATATAAGCTAAATAACAAATTGAAAAAGATATCATTTAGAAAAAAGTTATTATATAGTAAATATTAACTGTTGCAGCAGTAATTTTATTAGAGCAGTATTAAATGATTTTTCACTATTTATGAGGCATAAACATTTAAAATTATCAGTATTACTTTAAATGGTAAGCAATATCAAATTTCAGAGAAAAAAATTCATTTTTACCTACAGTGTAACATATATTTTTTTTTTATATATACACGTGCAAAATCATACGGTTTGTCAAAGTACAGAAATATAAAAAAAGTTGAAACTTAAAAGAAAGATGATATGCTAAAAGTATGAAAAGGGAAGGATTAGAAAGAGAAAAGGGTAGTGCTTATTAATATAAAGGGAGATATTATTTCTGTTTGTATTATTTAGATATTATAGACACAGATGTGTAGTTTATAATTAGACAATTTATCCCAGAGGGGTAAAAATAAAACAATCACTTACATTTTGTACTTTATAATATAACATTTGTGAATATAAGATTATTTAAACGAATACATAACAAATTTAGTATTTGTGCAAACATAAAAAGAAACTTCACAAAGTAAAATAATTTTAAATAGTTCTTTACAAACTTTAGACACTAACAAAAATACTTCAAAACTTTTAACTTTGATAATCAAAAGTAAAAATACAAAAGTAAATTACAAAAGACAACAAAGAGTTGACGCGATAATTAGTACGTATTGAACATATAATGATCGTACTTTAAAGATCGCTATTATGATGACATTTTATTGTCGACTCTTTATTTATCTTTTGTTATTTATTTTGTATTTGATATCTTGTAAACAAACATAATAAGAATCCTTAAGTGACATATATTTTTTAATTGCTTTGATAACATTGACAATCTATAATAAACTAATATCACTATTTTCTTTATAGTTTATAAATCAAATTAAAAATATAAAGTGTCGTGATAAACTTAACTTTTAATATGAAATAATGTAGTACAATAATGAATACTTTATTCTTTAGGACATCCTTTGTATATACCGTGTTCAAAATTGATGTCTTAATATAAGAACTTAACTGATTAAATAATCCAAGAGTTCTACTGCTATTTTTATATCAATGAATCGAGTGAATTCCCGAAATAAGCAAGGAACACTTCCTAATTGATTCTTTATATAAAGTTCGATTTTTGCTGCTTCTCTCAAATTGTATATTTCTAACTGTTCCTTGAATATTTTACTGTATATTACACTTTTGTCAAATAACCTTATTGCTTCCTCTATATTTCCTCTGAATGAAAAAAGAGATTCAAAACATTTTCAAAATATCTTCAGATTCTTTGTATAAAGCCTAGTTTATTATTTCCTAATTAACTTGTGGTTAACAAGTTTTACCCAACGGGCTTCACTCATGGTATAATTATAAAACACTGGCTAACTACAAGTTAACCAGATAATGAAAAAACAGGCCTAAATCACGTATTGGATTAAGTTGGCGCATTTAAAACATTTCAACTTAAAACAGTTATTTAGGAACAATTATACTGAAAATATACCTTTTTACTTCAAAGGTTCCTAATGTTCCATATGCCCGTCCAAACTTTTCATCAATCTCGATCGCTTTGTTTATATATTCTACAGCTTTATCAATATTATCAATCCGTAAGTATAATAAGCTCCTGTTTGCATAAACAGATGCACACTTAGGATTTTTCTCCATTGCTTTAATCAAATAACTATCAGCCTTTTGATATTGTTTAATTTCGGTCATCATCTATAAATGATTGAGAATTTCACCAATTAATCAAAATGTGCAACATAATAGTACTAACTTATTATACGTATTTCTTTTCAATTACTTTTCTTACAAAATTATAAGTAGTTGTACGTACCTCAGCATACATTATGCAACACATTGTATGTTCAGGAAGATTTGGATATTTTACAAAAGTTTTCTCGAAAGTTTTAATAGCCGCTCTAATTAATCTCGTATTATCATTTGATATCGCAATAGAATAATCCAAGTAATATTTCTGTATATACGCGTTGCTGAAGTTTGGATTGTATTTAATGGCCTTTTCAAACTCAAGCTTAGCTTCGTTTTCTTTGTCCATAAACACAAGTGCCTGAGAAAAGAAAATAGTGTTATTATATTATATTATAATATGTGCGTGTGACAAGATATGCTCAATGGCTGCAGAGAAAACTAATTAATTAATTACTAAGTTAGCACTTAGTAATTCTTTAACATAATTGTTCTTGTCCATAATTCTTCGCTGGATCTCAGTGCAGGAACCAATCACATTAATGAATCACAGCGCTAATTGATTAGTTTTCTCTGAACACAGCCATCGTTAATGTTCGTAATACCCGTCCTCTATGATAGTAGATGTCACTGCATGTTGAATTTATACTAATGGCCAATTCGAAGTCCTTAAAAGACATTTCTGAATCTTTGAGTCGCATGTATAATTCCGCTCTCTTTATCAGGGCATTTATCCTCAAATCATCGGACACATCTTCATTATTCAGTAAGTTTTCAAAATCTTGAATTGCAGCACTATAGTCTCCCAAAAGTACATAAAAAGTAGCTCGTAATAATAGGACCTCTAATTTAGTTGAAGATAATGTATCAAATTCCGGACTTTTAATGATTTCCGTACATAACGGTATTATATCATCATATTCCTTATCTTTTAATGCTTTTAACGGTTTCTTGAAAAATTTGGTAAACACATTAAAAAAGTGAACATTAAAATTACACAAACAATTTTCTGCCTATACTTACTCTGGAAAGATAAAATATATATATATATCAATGTCATGATTAATTGGTAAAATTAACTTTTTATACACCCAACTTTCCTCAGCGTGTTGTATTACTAAAAATAATTTTCGCGTTAAGTTATTAAATTTTTGTTTTTATTTCTTAATTTTTATTCTAATTTATCGAGACAGTATTTTATTTAATATCATGTGTTTTGGTATGTAACTTACTAAGCTTATCCAAGACCTTATCTGCCTTCACAAGAGAAGTATGATTAGAAAATCCTTCGTGAACACATACAATAGTCAAATCCTTCATAGCGGCATCCAAATCTTCAATTTGCTCTAAAACACGTGCCCGACGTAGCAAAGCCTTCATATATTTTGGATTTAGTTCCAACGCTTTTGTACAATCTGCTTTCACAGAACTATATTTTTTCTATAAATTATAATTGTATATATAGTAACACTTACACCAATATAAACATCCAACTAAAACTAAATTTTCATGTTGTGCCTATTATCAGTATCATCAATTTTATTACCAATTGCTCATACGCAGCAGCTCTGTTTTGATAAAAAATCGCAAGATTTTCGACATTTTCCTTTGGACAGATGTCGATAGCTTTACTATACTGAGCTATAGCTTCATCCTGTTTTCCTATTCTGAAATATACATTTCCTACATTGTTATACTTCTGCGTCCCATTTGTAAAGGAATCTAAAAAGGAACAGTTTACTGTATATATATATATATATATATACGTATATACACATATATACATACATACACATATATAATGCCTCTATGAGAGGTACTATTTCACGTAAATTCTGAAGAGACAAATAAATACTGTAAGTCTTGATCGAACAAGAAAATCCATTATCGTGTAAACATCATATTTTATTATCTTACTATCATGAAATTCAGTAGTGCTTACAGACAACATTATTTAGAAGCTAAGAAGCATCGACAAATACATTAATAAATGCGCAAGATATTTTTTTTTTAACTGTGGATAAATAGATTTTCGCTAAACCAATTAAGTGTTTTGAAATAAAGTCGGTAATCTTGACCTTCAGTTCGACAGCGGGAGAAATCATTTTAGGCCAATCGGATTGTTCCATCAAATTTTCTTCCATGGCAATCAAATGAAGAAGCAACTGAAAGATTGGAGGAACGCTTCTTAATTCATTCTTTATATCAAATTGTACTTTCGTAAAGTTTCTGAAGATGTATATTTGCAATAGTTCCACATATGAACGACAAATTATTGATGCCTTATCAAATAATCTTACTGCTTTCTCTACGTTTCCTCTGAAAAAAATTCAGAATATTTTCGTTATATCTTGAGAGCTTCTTTATATAAGTTACATATGCGATTGTATCTAATTTATTTTAAAAATTCCAACGTACAAAAATTATTAAAAACAATTACGCTGGAAACATACCTTTGCATTTCAAGTTTTCCCAATTGTTTATATGCTATTTCGCATTTGTAATCCAATTCTATCGCTTTGTTAAAGCATTCTATTGCTTTATTGACATTATCGTGCTTGAATTGCAGTGCACCTCTCGTTTCATAGACATACGCGTGCTCCGGATATTTCTGTATTGCTTTAACAAGACAAGCATCAGCTTTATGGAAGTTGTAGTGATCTGTTTTGGACATTATCTAAAAATAATTGAAAATTTCATCAATAAATCCAAATGTGCACATAATGATAACAATTTCTCATTCTTATTTCTTTTTAGTTCGATTTATTCTTAAAAAAAAAAAAACTAAATAGTCGTACGTACGTCAGCATACAAATTACAACAAAATATACTTTCAGGAGGATTTGGGAATTTTTTGAAAGCTCTTTCCAATTTTTTCACTGCCACTTTAACTAATCTTATATCCATATTATTGTATGCAAAACTAAAATCCATATAACATGTTTGCAAGTATGCCATTCCGAAGTTTGAATTGCATTCAACGGCCTTATTAAAATCATGCTTAGCTTCACATAGTCTTTTCATGAGTAAATATGTCTGACAAAAGAGAAATGATAAAAATGTATTGTTATGTTATGTTACAATACGTAATACAAAGAAAATGTGCTTAATACTATGTCTAATACCTGTCCTCTTTGATAGTAGATATCGCCATAACGTGGATTTATACTAATGGCTAATTCGAAGTCCTTGAAAGCGATTTCTGACATCTCAAGTTGCATGTATAAATTTGCTCTTCTTACGAAAACGCATATTTTTATATCATCGGATACGTCTTCGCTATTTAGTATACTTTCAAAATCTTGGATTGCAGAAATGTAGTCATCCGAAAGTACGTAAAATGTAGCTCGTAATAATAGCACTTCTAGTTTAGATGGAGGTAATTTATCAAATTCGGCACTTTTAATGATTTCTGTGCACAACGGTATTATATCGTCATATTCTGCGTTTTTTAACGCTTCTAATGGTTTTTTAAAAAATCTGATAACAAATGTTGTATTTATTAAAAAGTAAACACAATTATTAGAATAACATTTTTCTTTCCATACTTACTGTGGAAAATTATTTGGATGTTGAAGTCTCATGCAATGCAGGTTTCGATGGAAAATTTATTTGGCAATACAAACTCTTTGTTTGCTAAATTTTCACGAGCTTGTTGTTCCACTGAAAACGATTTTACTTCAAGTTATTAAACTTCTCTATTCTTATATTTCTCAATTCTTATTCAAGTTTGTTATAAATATTATTTTATTTAATACTAAGTTTAATATGTAATTTACCAAGCTTATGGCAGAGCTCAGAGTAGTAATATCCTTCAAAGCTGCTTCAAAATCCCCTAATTGCTCCAAAATACGTACCCGACGTAACAGAGCTTTCATGTATTTTGGATCCAATTCTAACGCTTTTGTACAATCTGCCTTCACACTATTATATCTTTTCTGCAAATTATAATTATAGTTGCATAGACACTTATATCACATTAATTTTATCAGTAAATTTACGTAAATTTTCATGTTATGTTTCTATTAGCAGTATTATCAATTTTATTACCAATTGCTCATATGCAGCCGCTCTGTTCTGATAAAAAATCGCGAGATCATCCACGTTCTCTTTTGGACAAATGTCGATTGCTTTATTATATTGAGTAATAGCTTCATTATATTTTCCCATTTTGAAATATACATTTCCTGCATTTTTATATTTCTGCGCTATCTGCAAAGGAGTCTACAACAAAAATTTATTTGTGTCTCAAGAATGCTATCTCCTCTCTCTTTTGCAGTTTATGATAATTTTATAATATGTTTATGATAATTTAAGAATATCTCTATAGGATAGCTACTAAGTACTTTAAGATTTTAACATTTGATTTCTTACATAAATTTAAAACGTAAATTCTAAATGATCATATATATCCAAAAGGGCTTATAGTTTCAAAGATATATGATATTAGAAATGAAGGAAAAATTTCAATTTTTTCCACATATTCATGCGAAAACAATTTAAGTTACTTTAATGAAACTTTAAACATATGCAAAGTTCACAAGTTATCAAAATAACGCAAGAAATTTTTTAAACTTTGAAAAAAAAATTTTTTTTTTAACTTTGACTTCGTATCTCTAAACTAATAGTTTTAGACGTATGGTCATATAAAGTTTTTGTCTTGAATTTGTGTAAAGAATTTTTTTTTTAATCTTAGTAAACACCCAGTAATGTCATTATGAAAAATATTATGGATTACTTCACTAAAGTTTTAAGATTCGAGAGACAAATATAAAAAAACTGTATGTATCACAGGTTGTCTCCGTGTCCAAATCCATTACAAAGTTCGACAAAAAATAACTTTTTTCGAAACCTGGAATGAGACAAATCATTTCCTGTAGTTTACTCTGAATCCGGTTTCCAAATTGCTCCATCATGTTTTGAGAAATTTGCAGTTAAAGTTATAAAGAGGGACTTTTTTCAGATACTTTATGTGCATATTATAACTACAATATGTACGTAACATGCTAGAAAAGTTTTATTGCAATCAAAATGAAATACATTCTTAGGATTTTTAGCCCTCAACAGGAATTTGTGTCGGTTATGGTTAATGATATTCACGATTAAATATAAAATTTGTTGTCAAAAAGTTATCAATTTCATCATTAACAATTTACCAAAAAATTTTCTATTATGTTTATTCAAATTTAAGGATTTCTTAAACCGTTAAATACAAATCCGATATCATAATTCAAAATTGTGTATTCAATATAGCGAATGACAAAACATTTAAACTATAGTCGTATTGTGAAAATTTATATGTATAGAAGTCTTTCATAATTTTAAATTTGTCAATTTTGATATTGAACTCATATTTAACTTATAAAAAAAATTCCTTAAGTTCAAATAAAAATAATTAAAAGCTACTTAATAAATCGTCAATGATTTTCACGATTTTTCTACAACAAATTCCGTATTTTATCATCAATACCTCATTAACCATAACCGACATAAATTTTAATGGCTAAAAATTCTTCTTGAGGAGGAAAAATCCTAAGAATTTTTGATCGTAATAAAACTTCAACATCTCACATATATTGTTATAATATATGAAATACTTCAAAATAATTCTTTCAATTTTAACTAGCAATTTCTCAAAACTATAACGTGGTAGAACAATTTAACCAAATTCGTATGCAGCGTCCAAAAAAACTGATGGAAATACCTGGTGCCATTTGGATTTTTTTTTGTGTAACAGTGTTATTATGTCAGTGTTAATGTCAACATTTTTTGAACATTGTATTTCACTTTATCAGAACAAGGAGTCTGATACTGAAGTGAACTGCAATGTTCATAAAACGTTGCACTTTAACAATGGATCTGGCACAGAACAACCTATGAAACACACAGCTTCCATGAATACCCATGGAAGCTTAAAAGCATAAGACAAATATAATATTATATATACTGTAAAAGTCTCGACTATTAAAAAGTTTATCGATTAAGAAAATCCATTATCATATGTAAACTGTGCATTTTATAATTTCGTTATTACAAAGTATTCAGCAATACTTGCAGACATTATCTATTGAAACTTATCTCTCATGATAACGGTATCTAAAATTTCAATAACACAATATGTTTATCGACAATACAGAGGAAACAAATAAATACATGACTCTGATGTTTTTTAAGATTTAAAAGGCAGCATTAAATGCAGCATTGAGAAAAATAATGTTTTTTTTCATTTCGAATAAATGGCTCTTCATCTAGTCGGTACTTCCAGATAAGGCAAATAATCTCAACCTCCGTCAGCTACAGGAGAAGCCACTTTGGATGGCCGATCACTATGCTTCCTTCCGGTAAATCTTCTACGTGTCATCTAAAAATACATTGAAACAAACTTTCTGTTCACTTAGCGTTTGGTTTCCTTTTGCAATACACAGAATGAAAAGTGATCACGAACACTTGAACATTAATAAATAAATTTATTTATTGCTGTATAATTATACATAAATTTTAATGTTTTATTAATAATTTTTCGATTTTTCTTAATATAATCTCTTTTATCTTATAGATTTTTAATAATTACTTTGATTAATACTGCAGAAACTTATTGATTAAATAAATATTAACTGAATTCCAGGCTTTTAAATATGCTAAAGAATAACCATACATTCTTTTTTCTTTCTGTATCTTGTATTTTAAGTAAACTCAGACAAAATAATCTATTACGACTTTTCAAGATTTTGAACATGTTTTCTTTCCATCACAATTTCAAATCAAAATACATATCAGTAACAGACTCCATAGAATGATTTAAAAATCTGTATTATCAAATGCATCACATACGACTTTGCAATTCATAAAATAATTAAAATTCAGTTTTAAAGATGAATGGATTTAAAAACTTAAAACAGAGTAATCTTTTAATCTGTATGAGGAAGAAGTCTGTATGTATCAAAAGAAGGAATTTTTAATGGATAATGCAAGTAACGCTTTCCGCACATTATGCACTTATTTTTTTACTTAATGGCACCTGCCTTCTGAGAAAAAAAAGACTTTGGAAGTCAATACGACCAGATTTCGTTTCAAGTCTGTCACAATTTCAAAAATTTTAGATGCTACAACACTTGGATTATAGAGAACACGTTCGGGATCGGGATCAAGTCGTCTTTCGAAATTTGCACGCGATTATGCACAAATATACATTACCTTAATATTGCTTGATATTGTTGAATCTGTCACGCACAATTTCCCCTTTTCCGTGAAAATTGTTCACGCGTAAAGATTCATGACTCTCATAATGCGATTATAAAATACTCACGGCAATCAATCGAACGAAATTTGCATCGTTTTTACACATCCTTCGATCTTCTGCGTCGTAATCGTACTAACTGATCGGTACAATGACAAAGGCAAGCTCATATAAAATATAACGATGTTCCCGGAAACCCCTTCTTTCTCTTCTTCACCAGGCAGAAAAATTCTTTTGATTAATATCAAGTAGGGAATTCCCGGCAGCTATTGTAATACAATGCAGCACAATGAAAACAATGGCTGCGTTTAAATTGACTAGCCTCTCAGCAAACGAGAATGGATTGCAATGAATTCAGATTTTCAGAAATATTGATTCACGAATGTTAAAATGAATGCTTTTCAATGAATGCATTTTTATTCATTTATAGGAATTGCATGAAGCACCTCTCTATGCTTTTCTAAAAATAATATTAGCTTTTTCTGTGCAAAACAATTGTGAATACTGTTCAATTCAAAATTTTGAATAGAAAATGCAGTTTTTTAATCCATTTGCATCCAATCGAATCTAATTGAATCCAATTGAATCCAATTAAATCCAAAAAAAGGATTCGCTATTTAAAATTTAAAATATGCATTCGAATAGAAAAAATTTCAATCCATTTTAATCCATTCTCGTTCCTGGGTAGCCTGCTCGCCGAGCAAATGAACATAATTGGTTGTTACTTATAGATCCAACCAATCATATCACTCGGTAAGCATAGCCGCTTTGCCGTTTTCGAACTCGCCCAATATTTATATTACCAGATATTATTAACGACCGCTAATTTTGGACAAATTTTCGTCCATGCAAAACGAGTCCGGAGGTGATTGAAGAACACTGACATTATCGACAAATAATTGTATAAATTTTATTAATATTGTATAAATTCAATATTGTATAAATTTTATTAATTGTCGGTAACGTCACCATTCTTCAATTATTCCTGAATCCATTGATAGTCACGAAAATTTGTTCAAGGCCTATTGTAGATCCGGACTTAGTCAAATGCGAGGAGAATAATTGACTATGATTCCATTTCTTATGGCTTGAAGCCGCCGTTCCATAAGCGGAAATTTATAGCGGAACGGAACAGCGTGACCAATTAACTTTGCAATCATTACTCTGCTTTCTTTTCTGCGATTGTGATTGGTCTCGCTGTTCCGTTCCTTTCATAGGACGCCGACCTGAGACTGAAAAATCTATTAGCTGCTCTTATATTATAGCATATGTCACGTACACTATAGAAAAAGAGCACTTCAGATTTGCATTGCCGAACGCAACTATTGTAGATCCGGACTAATGCAAAGGCGCCTTTAGACTTTAGAACGCGATTGGCCCGACTGAACAAACATGGCGATTCGACGCGACGTTGTGAACGGCAATGAACGAAAGCTTCGCTTTGGCCGTTGCTGTTGGCGTGATCCGTCGAGTAAACATTGATTCGTGCATTATCGCCGCGTGCGAGGTGAACGTGTGTTCGTATCGCTGTTGTGAAACTGACGAAAATCGAATAATCGATCGGATTGTTTCAAGACTATTAACACATTTCGTGAAACAAGACGAAGTGTTCGTTACGCCTCTATGAGTCGACCGTTGGAAATTCGAAAGGTCTAATCCGCGTTTCGTCGTTCGATCGTCGTCGTCGTGAGTAGTTTGCGCTCGAACGTTGCCAGAATGGCAATGGTGAAGGATCGTAGGCGTAGCAGCGCGGGATGGCCATGCGTCACGGTGTGACATTGATTCGAGATCGATCTCCCAACATCGTTGCCGTTTCACGTAATTGTCCATCGGTTGACTCGTGCCTGTGGCCAGCCAGTCTCGGCAGTCGAACAGCGCAATCGATAATCCCTGCGAGCACTTTTTGCGCTGGGCGCGAGATCGTAATGGCGAGAGCGTGGCGTCGATGGACGATAGGCGGCAAGAGTGGGAGACAGTGGTAAAAAAAACAATGCTGAATCGCTAGGCAGCGCGTAAGTGAACGTTGCGGGCGGAGGCGCGTATCGTCGGAGCACCGAAACTTTTCGTAAAGTATAAGAGAATCAATCGAACAATCCTTCGTTTCATGAAAGGGCAAGACTCTTATTAATTGGCTGCGTTCAGGAAAAGAAGCATCTTTACAACTGTTGTAAGAATCTTTCATATGATTGGTTTTATATTTAAATCTGGCAAAGAACTGAGGACAATAGCCAATCCTTTTAAAAGGTCTGTTCGTTCTGCTTGAAGTCTCTCAAATTTAAAATGAGATAAACATATTCTAGCGTTGAAGGGTAAGAAAGTGATAATGAGTGCAAAAAGTGCAAACAATGCGAACAGACCTGAAGTATCTTACAACTTTACAACAATTGTAGAACTGCTGTTTCTACTGAACTCAGTTATAAGTTATCTTATAGTTTGTGCATTGTACGTTATGCAAAGGTCTGTGCTCCGGTCTTATCGGCGAGCGCGATGCTCCCGCATGCCGATTCGGGGAAGGGTGTAGTCCCGGCGCGCGTTTCCGGCGCGTCAGGTTCTTCTCTCCTTTTTTTTCCCCTCTTCTCGCCGCGATGATGTGTTCGACGTTCGCACTCGTTTGAAAACGCGTCATCCGCACCCGCAAAACGTGAATTCACTGACGCATGACGTTTTATTAAATAAGTGTAACGAAAACAGGAAACGGAACATATCCGGAACTCCGAATGTATGTTTCCTCAAAATTGATGAATTATTGAATTTGTGAATTATTGTATTCAACTGAATTAACGACATTTCTGTAATTGCAGTTCATAATTTATGTCAAATAAACGACTGATGTATTCGAATACAAAGTACTTCATTTCAGAACTCACTATTTCTATTTGAAAAAGAGTACAATATTTATGAAATTTCTTTCTTTGTGAGACTGAATTGATATAGCAGTGGGAGGAGACATGCCAAAACTCACATTCCTGTAAAAATAGCATCGCAAAAATTCGGATTGGAGACCGATGAATTCGCACTTTGTCCAGTATTTTTTTTTCAGAAGACAAATTTAATTGATAGTTAAGATGGAATTTAGAATCACAATATAAACAGGATAGTAGACGAATTAATTTCATTACATTTATGAATATTTTTTTTTTATTGAATGTAATATTTTTTTGACAACTTATTTATTTATTTTGTAATTTAAAAAATTTGTTGACATTTTGGAAAATTTATATATTCAAGTTCTTTTTTTTTTAATTTAAAAGAAAAAATAAATTAACTTATAGCTAAAATCAACTATAATTCAAGATAGAATTATTTTATTTTTCAGATTTTTATCTCAGATTTTATTTCAGATATCATAAATCGAAAGAAATTGGAAGAAGTATTGTCTCTGTGATTGTTTCAGATTGCTGACGAAGATTTTTTATAGATGTAGACAAGGATATTATGCATACCCGCTACATCTAATTGATACATTACCTTTTAAATATGGATGACGAAGAAGGAACTTCGAGTTCTGGACCTATGTCTTCATTAAACAGCTTGTTTTCATTCACCAGTCCCGCCGTGAAAAAATTGCTCGGTTGGAAGCAAGGTGATGAGGAGGAGAAATGGGCTGAGAAAGCAGTGGATTCGTTGGTGAAGAAACTGAAGAAGCGCAAAGGCGCGATCGAAGAACTGGAACGAGCACTAAGCTGCCCTGGAACGCCAAGTAAATGCGTGACGATTCCTAGAAGCTTAGATGGCAGATTGCAGGTTTCGCATCGCAAAGGCTTGCCGCATGTGATATATTGTAGAGTTTGGCGCTGGCCAGATCTCCAGTCACATCATGAATTGAAACCGCTAGACTTGTGTCAGTTTCCGTTTTCTGCCAAGCAGAAGGAAGTCTGCATCAATCCTTATCATTACAAAAGGGTGGAGAGCCCGGTTTTGCCACCGGTGTTGGTTCCTAGACACTCGGAATATGCTCCCGGCCATTCTCTGTTGCCATTTCAGCAATTGGCCGACCCAAGCATGCCACACAACGTGTCCTATACATCTAGCGGTTTCAACGCCGGTTCTACGAGTGGCGTCAATCCAACGTCACCCATGTCCTCTGTCGGTTCCGTACCCAGTCCAGGGAGCACGACTTTGCCGAATCCTCAAAGTCCATACGGTACCAATGGATTACCAGAGACACCACCGCCAGCATATTCTCCTCCAGAGGATGGCTCTCAAACTGGGCAAACCACATCCTCGGATTCAGTTCCGATGGATACAAGCACGTCAATTGAATCAGCTACACCTGTGTGTTACCAAGAACCACCTTACTGGGCCTCAATCGCTTATTACGAGCTAAATTGTCGAGTGGGTGAAGTATTTCACTGTCATTCGCACTCCGTGATTATTGACGGCTTTACAAATCCGAGCAACAACTCCGATCGCTTCTGCCTTGGACAACTGTCTAATGTAAATCGAAATTCTACGATAGAGAATACGAGGCGACATATAGGCAAAGGAGTGCATCTGTATTACGTCGGCGGAGAAGTTTATGCCGAGTGCCTCTCGGATTCTGCGATATTTGTACAGTCTAGGAATTGTAATCATCATCATGGCTTTCATCCCAGCACAGTTTGTAAAATTCCACCGGGATGCTCATTGAAGATATTTAACAATCAAGAATTTGCCCAACTTCTATCGCAAAGCGTAAATCATGGTTTTGAAGCTGTCTATGAATTAACAAAGATGTGTACGATTAGGTAATTTAATTTACGATATTTTTATTATTATAAAAAATTTTAGTAATGTGTAACTACATTTACTATTTTTGTTGCTAGAATGTCTTTCGTGAAGGGATGGGGTGCGGAATATCATAGGCAGGATGTTACCTCAACTCCCTGTTGGATCGAAGCACATTTGCATGGACCTTTGCAATGGTTGGACAAAGTGTTAACGCAGATGGGTCCACCTCACAACGCCATAAGTTCTGTATCATAAGTAACATGCACGCATCATAGAGATTTGTTTTAAGATAAAAAGACAATTAGTCTCGATGCACTTTTAAAAGTTCAAATATAGGCTGTATTTGCCACATATGTGAGAATTACGGAAATTGTGCACGGACGAAATACAGTTACAGTAAGTTGCCCTATGTTATACTTACATTAAAATAATATCTAATGAAGAAAAATGATAATGAAATGAACGAGAGATGTAATGTTTGAAAGAGATATAAAAACTCACGAGAAATGTTATGCAAAAGAAAAATATTTAAAAATGGTGATCTCTGGGAGTTATCGTGTATACATTTAGACGCTATAAAAATTCTTTGACTGTTACATAAGGACAGAATTATATATATATATATAAAGAAATATTTTTCAAATCTATGCATCAGTTTAATACTTTATTTTATATGAAAATTTCTTATGGAGATATTTGTCGGTGTTACAAACAAAATCTTTTAATTAAACAATTTTAAGATTTATTATGATGATATATGGAAAAAAAAAATGATTATAATTGCTGTAAAGAAAAAAGTTCTTTGAATTATAGAAAGCAAAAAGATATTGTTTTTTTTTTTTTAATTTGATCATAATCTAATGATTATGCTTGTTAAGTTACATGTATGCTTTAAAGTACATTTACGTCTATATAGATATATTCAAAATTTGTTGTTAGATTTAAAATAGTGCGGGCTTTTATTGAGTAACGATGCGATCTATTTCAAAGACATTGGACGTTGATCTCACGTTGACTATAGGAAAAGTTAACTGCGTCCAATGATATATTGAAACCAACTCACTAATCTATAGAAAGATCTACAATTCATGGCATGTTTCATCTCTACGTACATTACATTGCATTGTACTCTTCTTCATTATCGTATTGTGCAACAAGCGATTCGATGCTTTCCGTATTAAAATTCCTAAGAACAGTACACGATTAGGTAAGTTTTATGTGTTACAAATAGGGAATGGAAGAATTACTACGTTATTTTTACTGTTCTTATAATAATTATTTGATAATGTTGCAATTTTTTATGACTATGATAACTAATTAAACGCTGAGGTTACACTTTGAAAAGTAATTTATTACCGTAATTCGTTATTTATTGGAAAAAAAAATATGTAACTTGTAATGCATTGATGAGTTATTTTTTCCGTCAAAAGTAACTAGTTATAAATAAAAAATTACTTTTTTCAATAAAGAATTTTCCAACCCATTGCAAGTAACATTTTCACATTTTAAAGTGACATTTTCCAACTCTGATGTTATCTTTATAAATATTCGCAACGTTATTACCAAATTATTACTATAACAAAGTAATGATAAAAAGTAACGGCGTTATTAACACGTACTTCCATTTCCCTAGTTACAAATTATATATGAAATTTTATATGCTGTACATATTTCTGTATGGAAATTATCGTACACACATATATACAAGTATGTAAGTGATGTATGTGTGTGTAATGAAAAAAGAAGTCATCTGTCAGTAAGTTTATATTGCTTGAGTAAAAGTTATGTTTATCAATTGATTGGAGTTAAGCTTGATATTACGTTTGTTACTTTTTTTACATTATGAAAGGTGCCAAAAAAAATATTCGCATAATATGTTTAATTTACGCACTGTGATATTTCATCAGAGGAATGCAATTCTTTTATTGTATCTAATCATGTTTCCAAAGTCTTAAATCAAATATCTCAAAAGCACATCGATTCTACGAGTGTCTTAAAGAGAAAAGGAGAGGAAGAGAGAGAGAGAGAGAGAGAGAGAGAGAGAGAGAGAGAGAGAAAGAGAGAGAGAGAAAGAGTCGTCAGATATTAACAGTGCCTAATTATAGACAATATACCATCTTATTTCACTGCCATTTGCTATCACTGATTTTGCCGATGTGTGCCTAGCTGTGATTTTTTGCTATTCAATTTGGCAAATTTGCGATTTGATGATAAATAAAAGAAAGTACGAAGGGGAACAAAGCTTATTTGGCTAATAACATTCTAATTTTTCTATAATAGACAAAAGTAGTAAGAGATTTGCTTTCTTAAGATAAGAAAAGAATAAGATGTAAACTTATAATTGGGTAAAATTGGAACATGATATTTTTGGTACAAACGTAAACGTCGATAAAATGTTTATTCGATATTGCATAATGTGGTACAATTGCACTAATTGCACAAGTGATGGAGACAATAATCGATGACAAAAAAAAAGGGTAAAATGTAAGATATTTTCAGCCCGTTTCTAAGAAAAATTTATCGTTTGATAAAATGGTTGAATTAATCGAATTTTGTACAAAGGAACCGATCAGTATTCTATATTAGAAGATAAAACTTAAAAATAAGAAAAACGCCATACGTTTATGATCATTTCTGAATCTTTCTCCGAATTGGTTCCTTTCTGCAAGATGTGATCTGATTATACCTGGTCGGCTTTTCTTCGAGAAATATATACTACAATTACAGATCTCTTTTAAATCGTAATCTGCATTGATGAATAGCGAATCGATTAGATAGGTGTTGCGAAATTTTTTCAGCATGTTGAGCTCTGTCACGTTCGAACGAGCACGATGCATTATTATAAGATGTACGTATACGTGGATAGTTTCTCATACGCAACATACTTATAGCTTGTACTTCATATTATCACCACGTCTTAATTTTCTTGTTAACTGAATCATTATAGATTAGTCGCGATGCCCGTTTACAAAACAATCTTGCCTGAGCTTTTGTGCCTGATCTTCAAAACGATCCTTTGAATTTCCTTCGAAATCTATGGGAATTCGACTTCAAGCTTAACGCTCTCAAGGATTGATGGAACATTATATACTTTGTTGCGCGCCGCCCAAATTCGTGCCTTGGCTGCCTTTTATATTGCATAGTTATATAAGCGATATGATATATGCAATTTTTTTTATGCGTAATAGCAGGATGGTGGGGGGGAAGGTGAAATATGTATCCGAAGGTGTACAGAAATTTTCCCATTCGATAAGAGAAAAAAAATAGAATGAGAATCCCCTCAATTGTTCACGTGTAAAATAAATGTAACAGCTCTGTGCTTGCATTGCAATGTCACACACACGCACGCACGCATGCACACACGCACAAACACACACACACAGAGTACACATACTATAGTTATATATTAATCAGACGTAGATAGACGTCTGATATCGAGTCTTATTTCTCTAATGATTACAGTCCTGCGACTCAAGTTGTGAGCAATTCAGCTACCTTGAACAGGAAAGTGCTCGTGCCTTGAAAATATATAGAAGGAACTGAGAGCATCTGCAATAACGAGATGTAGACAGATATGCCGCGGATATGTCAGCAATATAGCACCAATTCTTATCGCTTTAAATATATAAATATGTTCCTATTATATTTCTGATATATTATATTAATGCCTAATATACATTTTTCTTATTAATGTATCAACCGTTACGGAACTAAAAATTTTGTTTAGTGATATTTAATGTAAATATATATAATGTATATATATATATATATAAATCATTTTTAGATCAAAGAATGTTCCGGACGTCTACTCGTTGATTCTGACACAGAAGCGCTCGGTTCCTTTTATAGAAAAGCCGTCTATTAATGTAAAGGCCGTGAAGAATAAATAGATGAGCGATTGAAGTGCGAAGGTGCGATTTGAAAACGGGCTCGCGATATATTCCGTCAGTGACTGTAAATATATCAAATCTCGTTAGTCGTGAGAGCACATCTCTTCGGAATCCATTCCACGTTATGTACCGTTAGAGAAGATAACTGCGGGTTTTTTTTTTCTTTCCCCCTTATGCGATTTCTCAAGACGCTCATGTGGCTGCATCGTGTTCGCGACTATCAGCGACGACGTAGGCACACGAGTTTCCTCTGTCTTTGTACAGCCGCCATCTCCGTCAGAAAATAGGACGTAGTTATCGTTTAAACTACATGGAGTTGATGCCGTTAAGCACGGCGCGTAGTATATTTTATTTCGCACGTTCTTTTCTTTATGATGAAAAAAAAAGACATTTTATGTACAGAACGGTATTTTTAGTTGTACATACATACATGATGTATGCGTGTATGGATATGTATATGATGTAGTGAAGAGATAGTAGAAAAATCTTTGTGTTATATGTGACATGTTACATGATAAGAAATTAGGCTTTTAATGAAAAAAAAACTAGTATAAATGGTTGGCTTAGTTGAACAGGTCTGTGTGTACAGAGCGCGTACTTTGTTACCGTGAAAAAAGAAGAATTAAATGATCAGACATGTCAAACACAGCATTGATCGAGCGTACCGATAAAAGATTTTCGTTGTCATTGCTCGACGAAATCTTTAGATAGTCTTGCAGGATGATACGTTTACGGGATGCCAAGAATTTTTAAAGGTAAATTCTTCGTGATCAGCTGTATCATTCGGTGTATAAAAAAATTATCCGCTTGATTACGTTTATACGCATTCACCTGTGCTGTTTACGCATGCATTTCCGGTAATCGTTGTCTCGTGCAGCTCTACCAAGTACGAAATAAAATTAATACCTACCTGTGTATCTGTACGATATCTGAATTCGTTTCGCGATTACGCGGTTTTATGACCCATCCCAGATTCCTTGCATTACATCGTCTAAATATAAATAAGGTGTTATTATTTGGAATGAATTCCGAAATTATTCACTTATTCTTTAAATATTTATTAATTTCTCTAAGAAAACGGAATAATTTTAAGGGGAATCCATTCTGAACAGAATCCATATGCGTGTCTAGAGTATCTATCATGTAACTTTTTCACTAAAACGGAAAAGTAAAATTTTTTTATGCATATATATATATATATATATATATATATACATATACAAATTTTTACGTTTTCGCTCTAGAGAAAATCACATGATCGATATACAGTTCTGATAAAATAAATCGAACAGTTTTAGCGTTCTAATAATTCAAATACAAAGATCAAGTATCATGAAGGTTGTGTTAAAAATCAGAAAAATGCAATTTTACTACACACGAAATTTTGAATAATTATGGTGCTTTTCAGCAAGAGATAGTGTAATATAGTGAATAATTTTATCTTTGTTTAATATTGGCAGATGAGGATATGATTCATTTGTCACGTTGTGTTATCTGTCTCTTGCTGGAAAATGTCTAATTTTCTATTGGAGTATCATATTTTTTAAATCTTGAGATATACTGGTTAGGACAAGGAACGTAACTGAATGTTTATTTTTCAATCTGATTTATTTCATTCATAAAGCAACAACGTGAAACCTCTCATACGTATCCAAAACTTTTCTGTGCACATCGAATTAGAATAGTTCAGAAGTCGACTATTAAATACGACATATAATAGGGGAGGGATG